TCTCTCTCTCTCTCTCTCTCTCTCTCTCTCTCTCTCTCTCTCTCTCTCTCTCTCTCTCTCTCTCTCTCTCTCTCTCTCTCTCTCTGCCACTTTCAGGCCTGTAGGTTTAGTTATGTTGTATGAGCTGAGGCTGCTTACCTTTCCACTCTCACCTCACCTGCACTTGTTTTGAAGATGTCTGAGGCATTAGAAACTCCCAGGACCTGTGTCATGGAGTGAACAGCACAGACAAGTGTGTGTTTGCAGCTGGGTGAATTTAATTTTCCCTTAACTCCCCTCTCAACACACAGACGCATTCTGTAGGAGCCTGTATCTGCAGGTACGCATGCGCACACATATGTCCGTGAAGCTCCTGAGGAAAAGAAAGCCTGTGCCTCAAAATTCTCTCGTTGGAGGGGAACACCAAGTAAGGACATGAATTCGTGCCAACAGAAGGAAACAAATCTGAAGAAACAAATCCCTGTACTGTTTTTCAGGTTTTACATTGAGAGCATATCGTTTCTAAAGGAGAAAACCACCGTGGAGCTGTTTTTCCTGAATGCAAAGACCTGTGTGCACAAGGTAAGGTGCCCCTGTCCTGTTCATTGACTGGTTGCCTGCCCGAGGACAGGAACTGCAGTGGCAACGGGGCTCTCCTGTGTGCTCACATTCAAACCAGAAAGAGTCCACAGTCTCTCCCGCTGATGTTTCGTACCCCAGCAACACCGCGCCCCCCCCCCCCCGCCGCCATGGTAATTCTGGTCCAGTTCTGAGAGGTAAGGACGGCCGCCACTGACGAATATTGCTGGTACATCATGAACCACCCAATCCACTTCCCATATGGCTGATGTTCTACCCAGGAAGACACAGGATGGAGCAGATCAGGTTAGGCTCTGAACCTCTTAAGCCAGAAATCTTTTTCTAAAACAGGGCACGCCTTACCTTTACTTTAATGCAAAGCCAGTCTTTCTTAGGCTCACACTGTGCCTTTCGTCTCTGCACACCTGTATCACCTTACAGCCAGGAAAGTAGTTTCTCAGAACCACCTGCCTTCCACCCGTATCTCAGGTCTCTGTTGGGAAGTTGTGTTGTTTTGTGTTACCAGGTTTTACTTCTACCCAATCTATCAAGGGCAGATTAGTAAATCAATTAAAATGCCATGCGAGGGTATTACAATCATGGCAAACTGCCATAAAAGTTTATATTTATTTGTTTGTATGTTTGTTTATTGTGGTACTGGGAATTAAATCCAGGACCTTTGCGCCAAGTTGCATTCCCAACCCCTCCCTTCCTTCCTTCCTTCCTTCCTTCCTTCCTTCCTTCCTTTCTTTCTTTCTTTCTTTTTGTCTGAGACAGATTCTTGCTAAGTTGCTAGGCAGGACTCGAACTTCTGATCCTTCTGCCTCTGTCCCCCAGGTGCTGGGATTACAGGCATGTGCCACTGTGGCACTGCCATAAAAGCTTTTAAACATTGTCAGTTGTTTCATCACCTTGCAGGCTAGCATCACTTTAAGACTCCTCTCAAGCCATAGGCCAAAAGGTGTCCTTTGGAACCAGGCTCCTCCCTTCTAGCTGTGGTCTCAATGCCCAGACTCAGAATTCCCTGTCCAGGCCCCAGGCCCTACATGGAGGCCTGGTGAAAGCCCCTTCTGTCCATATGCATCTCCCTAAATCTGAAGGTGACTAGAGGAATGATCTCTGGCTTGGAAAGACAAGAGGGAAGGCTAGGGGTTGGAGGATCTACATTACCTACATCCGTACTCTTTCTTGGGCCCACCAATGTTAAAGGTAACCCCCTATAGACACACAGCTTTAATATTGCATAAGACACTACAAGAATAGAGTTGATTATGTTGATTTTTAATAGCTCTATTGCAATATACAGTAATAGACTGTACATAAAGTGTAGAATTTTGTTTTGACTTTTTGATACCTGAGAAACAAGTACCACAATCAAGATAATAAATATACCCAATAACCAAAGATCTGCTTTTTTCTCACAACATATTAGGTTTCATTTGAGTTTCATATGAGTGGAATCACAGAAGGTAATCTTTTTGTCATATTTAAGAAGTATAATTATTTTGACATTCATCCATGTTGTGTGCATCAATAGTCCATCTCTTTTTATTGCTGAGTAGTAAGTAGTCCATATTCTTTCACCTGTTAATGGGCATTTAGATTGTGCCATTTGGGGAATTATTACAAATAAGGCTGCTATGAACATTTATGTGAAAGTGTTTGTATGGGCATATTTGTTTTTGTTTTTCTCTTAGGTAAATATGTAGGAGGGAAATGAGTAGATCACATGGTAGATATATGTTTAGCTCTTCAAGGTACTGGCAAAATTGTTTTCTAATACAGTTATACTATTTTAGATTCCTACCAGGAGTGTATGAGAGTTCTAATTCTTTCATATCCCTGACACTTAATATGACTTGTCTTTTTCATTTTAGCCATTCTACTAAGTAGAAAGTATGTGTAGTTTCTCATTGTAGTTTTAATTTGCATTTCCCTAATACTGATGATATTAAACATCATCCATGTAGATGGCATAAGGTATAGGTTGAAGTTCACTTCTTGGCATATGTATATTCAGTTGTTCACTATCAGTTGAAAACACTATGGTTTCTCCACTGCGTTACTTTGTACCTTTGTCAAAAATCGATTGTCCAGGGGCTGGGGATTTAGCTCAGTGGTTCCGCCGCCTGCCTCAAAAGTGCAAGGTCCCGAGTTTGATCCCCAGTACCCCAGTACCAAAAAAAAAAAAATTGATTGTCCATGCATATGTTTGTTTGTTTCCGAACTCCTTTTTCTGTTTCATTGATCTATTTGTCAGCCTTTATGCCAATAACATACTATTTTGATTACTATAGCTTTATAGTGGGTTTTGAAACCAGAATAGCTTCCAATTTTGTTCTTCTTCAAAGATTTTTTTGGTTATTTTTGTTTTGACATTCCCATATGAATTTTAGAGTTAGCCTGTCAATTTCTAAAAAAAAAAAACATGGTGGGATTTTGATTAGCAATGCCCTGAATCCATAAATCTAGGTCTATATGGAAAAAATTGACATCTTAACAATATTGCCATCAGGCCCATGAACAAAGCATATAACTGCATTGATTGAGGTATTTTTTTCATTTCTCTCAGCAGTGCTTTGTTGTTTTCAGTGCACAGGTCCTTTGTCAGATTTGTCCCTAAGTATTCTCCATTATGTGATGCAATTGTAAATTGTATCTTTTTATTTCAATTTTTGAATGTTTATTGCTAGTGTATAGAAATACAATTGACTTTGTGTATCAATCTTAGATCCTATAACCTTGTTAAACTTACTACTTCTAATAGCTTTTTTGTAAATTTCATCAGATGTTTTATAAATGATTATGCTAATTGACTAATAAAGTTAGTTTTTCTTTTTTTTTCAGTCTACATGCTATTTATTTGTTCATTCATTCATTCATTTGTTCATGCATTCATTCACTCATTTTACCCCACTGCACTGGCTAGAATCTCACAAATTCTGATGTTGGGCTTCTGTTTTCATTTACATCAAAATATTTTTGAATTTCCTTTTTGATTTGTCTTCATCTAATTGTTATTTAGTAGAGCATAGTTTGATTTCCAAATATTTGGGGTTTTTAGAGATCTTTCTGTTATTTATTTCTAATTTAATTCTGTTATGAGCAGAGAACATACTTTGTATGAACTGAACCTTTTTTAAATTTCCTGAAAGTTGTTTTATGGCCTGAAATGTACTCTACCTTTGCATATGGCCTGTGTACACTTCAGCAGAAAGTTTATTCTGCTGCCCTTGGTCAAATGTTCTATAAATGTCAATTAGGCCCACTTAGTTATTGTTTTTCAAGTCTTCTGTCTTGCAGATTGTTGTATCAATTATTAGGTGGATGATTTAATAACCTCTATTATTATGGAATTTTTCCATTTCTCTTTGGCGTTTTATCAGTGTTTGCCTCATTGGAAGCTATTGTTTTTAGAACCTAAACATTTAGTATTGCTTTCTTTCCTATTAACTGACCCCATTATTGCTGCAGGATTTTCATGTAGAAAGATGAGACACCCGAGGCCTTTGTCCCAGGAAGCAGCTTTATTCAGGCCGCACTGACTCAGAGGATTCATATCCAAAAGCTGAGAGCCGAAAATGGTGTAGTTGCACACTTTTTCTGTGTCTCTGTCTGCCTTATATGGGCATACACTAACATTTCACAGTCTGGTTTGGTATACATTAACATTCTACAGTCTGGTTGGGTATGATTTATGTTACAGAGGTACATCAGAACTACACATGGTGCACAGAGGCTGATATCGCTATATTGTAAAAAGTTCCTGCACAGAGATGTCAGGAGGGACCCTACAACATTATCATAAAATCATCTTTTTTTGACACAGGTTCTCACTATGTTGTTCAGGCTGGTTTTAAACTCACTGTGTAGCCCAGACTAGTCTCAAACTTGCTGTGATCCTTCTGCTTCAGCCTCCCAAGAACTGAGATTATAGGCATGCACCACCACACCTGTCTTAAAATCATCTTCTTTATTTGGTAATAGTCTTTGTTCTGAATCTTCTTTACTAGATATTAAGAAAGTCACTTTAAGTTTCTTTTGCTGCTATTAGCATTTTTCCCCTATTTTTCAAGTTTTACTGTATTTCTATCTGTATACTTAAAGTATGCTTTATGTAGTTAGGTAGCACACAGTTGCATCTTGATTTTTTAAAAATTCAGATTAATACCTCTGTCATTTTACTGGGATTTTTCCACTGCTCACACTTAATACTATTATTAGCACAATTAGGTTTAAGTTCAGTACCTTTCTATTTTGTTTTGTGTTTGTCCCATCTGTTATTTGTACTTTTTCCTCCCTTTTTTCCTCCCTCCTTTTGAATTTATTGATTATTTTCTGGTTTTATTTTACCTCCTTTTTGGAATATTAGCTGTAACTCTTTGTTTTGCCATTTCAATGGTTGCTTTGCAGTATATTGGAGTTCTTGTCTTTAGAGGTTTTATTTGAATAATTTTTGCATTGTACATGTGACCACTTCTGAACACATGAAATGCAGTTAGAATAACTGACTCGATATTTTGTCTGCTAATTCTAACATCTGTTAGTTACGCGTGGTTTTGATTGATTTCTCTTTCTCTTTTTTATGGGTCATGTTTTCCAGCCTATTTGAATGCCTGTTAATATTTGATTCTGTGCTAAATATTATAAATTTGGGGGGGGGGTACCGGGAATCTAACTCGGGTGCTTGTGCTTGCACAGCAGGCAATGAAACCACTGAACTAAATTCCCAGCCCTAAACGTTATAAATTTTGTCTTTGTGAATGCTAGGTAGTTTTGATATTCCTATAAATATCCTTGGTATTTGTTTTAGGATACAGTTTAGTTACTTGGATACAGTTTAACTTTTTTTCAGGTCTTTTTTTTTTTTTGGTCTGGTAGTCTGGTCCAAAAGAATGCTTGTTCCACTATGGAGCTAGTTTTAGTTATCCCTCATTACTGAGGCAAGACCTTCCTGAGAACTCTACTTGATGCCCCAGAATTATGAGTCCTAGGAACGATGG